AGGCTGCTCCAGAAATCGCAGCACCAGGAGACAACAACCCACACACCAATTAACAAGATCCTAGTCCCTCAGAGATGAGATTTGAAACCGGGACCGTTGGCAAACACCTTTTTCACACCTGCTCATTAAATCCAATACTACCGTTCCCCTTATAACAACATACGGCGCTGGGACCGGGGAAGATGGAAGGGGGGGGCAAGCCAAATGAGCTGAACACTATAATTAGTAGCTGAATTACAGCTGCCCTCCCCCGAGAGAGACGGTTCAAGATTGAGGGTTTGCCCGAGCACCTGGCATCACCTCACGCCGGGCAAAATGGCACTATGAAATTAAAAATACTTCCTGCAACCAAGCAGAAACCCTGTGGTTTCTGAATATTTCTCTGTTCCACCCGTCCACTGGAAAGTTTTGCAAAGTTCATTTTAAAGACTACAGTTCCCATGCATGGGCTGGCAGGCGTTAGGAACTCTCGTCCAATTAAGTAAATGTTCAAAGGTTTGTTTCCACACGTAGGCAGAGAGACCAGACCGTATAATATTTGTTTGTTTGTTTGTTTGTTTGTTTGTTTGTTTGTTTGTTTGTTTGTTTGTTTGTTTGTTTGTTTGTTTGTTTGTTTGTTTGTTTGTTTGTTTGTTTGTTTGTTTGTTTGTTTGTTTGTTTGTTTGTTTGTTTGTTTGTTTGTTTGTTTGTTTGTTTGTTTGTTTGTTTGTTTGTTTGTTTGTTTGTTCGTTCGTTCGTTCGTTCGTTCGTTCGTTCGTTCATTTAATTTAGTTTAGTTTAATTTAATTTAATTTAATTTAATTTAATTTAATTTAATTTATATTTCACCCACACTACCCAAAGGTCTCTGGGCGGCTTCCAAAATGTAAAATACAATAAAAATTCAGAACAATTAAAATACAGTACAATTAAAATATACTCAAAGTCATACCTGGAGGACGGGACAATCCAATGAACAAATTTGGAAAGGAGGGATGCAGACATTTACATAACTTCAGAAATACTACGTGCTCCTTTATCTAAGAACTAAAAGCGGCAGTGAACAGATTTCCTGCTAATTTTTCTGTATTATTTATTTATGACTTACTTAGCATCCTGCCGTTCCCTCCACCCCATACAAAGCTCAAAAAACCCCGAATCTTAAAATTAACACAACTGAGAATGCAGTTGGAGATGACACGGGAGGACAATTAAACGTTTTACAGCTAAAATGTACTGAAGAAAAACCACTTAAAAACTACATTTAAAAATATTTTTTAAAAAAACAACTCCGCAATGAAAGCCTCTCCTTAATAGCCAGTTGCTTGCTAAGATCTTACTTATAAAGAAACGTTTTTGTCTAGCAACCCAAGAACAATACTCGGGGGGTCCAGTGTGGTTTCTTGTGGCAGGGAGTTCCACAGGCTGGAAGCAGCTACCAAAAAGGCCTCCTTTGGGTTGGCTCCAGGAATATAAAAAAACAGGGTGGCTTAGACGGGGAGTGACTGGTCCCAATATGCCCGTCCATGTCCAGAAAGGGACCTCTACAGAATCTGCTTTGGCAAAGAATTTCCATTTCCTGCAGGACTTCTGTGTGATTTTCTGCATAGTTGTCGCTTTCGAAGAAGCAAAAACGTTCCCTAGCCAGAGGCAGGCGCAACGCAGCGAGGGGCGCAGGTGGGTGGACACAACGCTAAAGATGGGAGAAATGGGGGGGACTCTGAACATAGGCTCAGACCTCCAACCTGCTCCTCAACTTCACCACCATTAGAAGCAGTCCCGGAAATCCCTGGAAGTAAAAATCCGTTCCTGTTTTTCCTCCCAACATTTTCCACCACGGCAAGAGCAACAATTTTAAGTGCTGGTTTTAAAGCCCTAAAGAGCTTGGGTCCAACGTGTCTCCCATAATGAGCCTGTCCAGGACTGAAGATCATCAGGAGAGGCCTTTCTCTTGGGCACATCATCCTCACAGGCGCATTTGGTGGGGACCCGGGAGAGGGCCTTCTCTGTGGCTGCTCCTTTAGACTCTGGAACTCCCTCCCACTGGAGGCCAGCCTGGCCCCAATCTTTGCTCTCCTGCAAGCAGGCAAAGGCCGTTCTCTTCAGGCAAGCTTTTCCTTCTGTGACCTGAGTGCGGTTTTTACACAGATTGCTATGCACGACTGCTTTGACTGGATTTTGAACACTACTTGTGTTTTCCATTATTTTTGCGTTCTCTGTTTCTCAGAATGGCATTTTGTTTTTTAAAAAAAATCATTTTGGTGTACTTCTTGGTCTTTGCCTTCATACGACCAGCTGATGACGTACGTAAGATGCCTCATCCCGTAGTCTTGCACAGCCACCATTGTATATGCGTGGTTTTCAACCTTAAATTCTGCCTCTCGTTGCTGCAAATCGCCTTTGGATCCTTCTCGAGAAGAAAGGTGGGGTAAAAGAAAATGTTATAAATAAACAACATCTTTTTTTGATGTATCGACACTCTCGCTAGCTGTACACGCCACCTTTTTAACATCTTTTTTAGTAGATTTATCGACTCACTCTCGCTAGCTGTACACGCCACCTTTTAATGATGGAAGCCGCTGGGGGGGTCCTTTTTAAGGAGAAAGGCAGGATCGGACGCCACCGGGGGTCCTTTTTAAGGAGAAAGGCAGGATAAGAACATTTTAAATAAATAAAATAAGAAAGCGAGTTACAAGCGGCATGTGGTTGAGAGTATATATAATCCTCTTCATCATCATCATCATGGCTGTTGATGCTGCTCTTACGGTTCCTAATACTATCCGGTTGCCAGATGACAATCCTAGGGGTAAACCAACAATATCGCCTGGGTTGCCACACTAAGACACAGGTGGGGTGGGCGGGTTGCAAGCCACTACTCACCAGTATTAATTGGGAACTGGAGTTTTGGGCTCCTCTTCGTTCGGTGGTCTTTGTGCGCCCCCTTGTGAGCATCAATTGCAAACGCAAAACCGAGAATTCTAGCTTTCCAGGAGGGAAAATACAGGATCTTTGTCAAAGGATTTCCAGGGAGAGATTGCTGCCAATAGTATTGCATTCTTTCTTCACAGATCTTACTAACTGGCTATTCGCCTTTATAGAGGTCACGTTTCTGCACCCTAAAAAAGGACCTTTGCCCCTAATATGGGGGTACTTTAAAGACAGCACCTAGGAAAAAGAAACCAAACGTACCATTGCAAGACAGGAGATGTACCTGGATCGGTTTATTCTACAAGCGAGAAGGAGCTTGCGAGAAGTTGTCGTAGATCACAAGCTGAATATGAGCCAAGAGTGCGATGCGGCTGCAAAAAGGGCCAATGCTATTTTAGGGCGCCTTAACAGAACGACAGCCTCTAAATCCCATGAGGTACTAGTTCCCTTCTATTTGGCACTGGTTCGGGCTCATTTTGAGTATTGTGTCCAGTTCTGGACACTGCCTTTCAAGAAGGATGCTGACAAATTGGAACCAGTCCAGAGGAAGGCAATGAGAATGATCAGAGGGCTGGAAATCAAGCCCTATAAGGAGGAAAGACCGAAAGAACTGGGCACGTTTAGCCTGGAGAAAAGAAGATGGAGGAGAGATAATAGGATAGCACTTTTCAAGGACTTGAATGGAATGATCTCCGTAGTTCCCCGAGCGCAGGACACGCAGCCGTGGGTTCGAGGAACTTGAATGGAATGATCTCCGTAGTTCCCTGAGCGCAGGACACGCAGCCGTGGGTTCGAGTTAAGAGGAAGGCAGGTTTCGGCTGAAGATCAGGAAAAACCTCTTGACTGTTAGAACAGTACGACAAGGGTGAAGAGCTCTGTGAAGCTCCAAAGCTTGCACCCCTCTCAAGAAACATCCACGTTTTGCATTCATTTCCCAAGGCTGGGACTGAAGCCTTCTCTTTGAGTGAGACGAGACCCCCATCCAGGACCCCCCCCAACACAGAGTTCCTCGGTTTCCTCCCATCACAGGCCCTTCTGACCTTGGGACCGCTCCCTCCCTGCTGATTGGATGAGACGGTTGCACACGGGCCTCGAGCCATCCAATAGGAACACATGCTCCAGGACAAGCCCCCACCCTTCCTTCCTTAATTGACATTTCAAAACAGTAAAAACTGGGGGGGGGGGAGAGATTTTTGCAGCTCCAACTTTTTCTCCTCTCTTTTCAACGATGGCTAAAATCAGAATGAAATTCCTCCAAGAAAAACACATTTTTAGTCGTGTGCCCTCCCCGGGCACTCCCTTCCCCAACCAATTCAAGGCGACCGAGAGGGAAACCGAGGCACAAAAGGACAGGGCGGAGGTGGAGGGTCCCCCCCCCCGCAGGCG